CGCAGGTAGGGAGCCTGACGGCCCCTGCTTCGGGTGCTTTTCAGCTACGTAACAGTAAAATATTGTGACGCCCCCTCCTCCAAAAAAAAACAAATCAAAGCAAAAACCGCGGGGAGAGTGCCGATTTTCCCGCCGGGACCTGGAGGATCAGCGGGCACAGGCGGGCGAGCCCAGAGCTCACCTCTCCTGTCGAGGTGCCTCTGCTCCAGGAGGAAAGCAGCTGACCCACAGAAAGAAAAACCACTTTATTCAGACTTAGAAAATAGAGCTTTATGCATTACACAAGATAGATTACACAGACAGTGGGGCATTGTACCAGCATTCTGCTGGAGTTCTCAAGAGCAATTAAGGCATTTGCAGCACAGGTTGGGCTAGATTCCGTATGACAGGTGAGTCCAGCTGCTCCATGGTACTTACACTGGCATATTTCTGGCTGTCATACTTGTTCTTGATCGTCTGCAGAGACATAAGTTTACTTTTTAAAAGTTCATACACTGCTCCACATTATGTGAAACTTGATGGTCAGCCCAGGCCCATCCTAGCACACAAGACCAGGTCATGGCTGGCTTACACCAGCTGAAATGAGACTGCTGACAGCAGTGGCTCTGTTAAGCCTGCTTCAGAGCACCGTGTATTGACACCTAAACGCACATACTCCCCAACCCTGCACAGTGAGATTCTTACGTTTTTGGTGATGCCCTTGTTCACAAGAAAGACATTCTTCGCTATGTGCTGCATAACTGGGAGAAGGTCGCTCTCGGCATAAGTCATGTATTGTTGCAGGGTTTGTGTCTGAAAGGAAAGTTATTCGGTAAGCATAATGGAACCATCCGAGTACACCATCTTCTGTGGGGCTTGGGCAGTTGCAGCCTCCTGTGTAAGAGGGGAGGGTTAATAGTTACTGCCCAACCGCTGTTCGTTTTTAATGGGCCACCTGGAGACAAGAATGTTCCGTGATACCGAGAGAGAAGCAAGAGGCATGCATTTGTCCCAGAGCGGCCTTTTAAGCTGGTGCACAAGCACACTATGTCCCAAACTACGAGGGGGTCTGACAAGCGTGACTTACCCACTCACATCCATTCAGGAGTTTCAGAGCTAAACAGATAGCAGCTGCTGCAATCTTGGATGGAGGGATGTGAACCATACAGTAGTCCATAATGGACAACTCCATCAGGTACTTGGCCAGAATGTATTGTATAGAGCTCACCTGCAGTAAATCAGAATTCACTATTGGCTATCTCCAAGGCAAGAGCGTTCTGTCAAGCCTTAATTTAGTCAGGCAGGAAGAAATACTTCCTTAGCAAACATTTTCAGAGCTATAGGCTTTAAATTCAAATGGCTTAATCACAGAGCAGTTCTGAACTATATTAGGACCACCCTTTTCTGTGGCTGTCTAGCAGTTACCTGCAACACCAGGCAGGCATTTTAACTCTGATTTTGGGTGGGTTAGGCTTATATGATTCAAAGCAGTTAAACAAGACCCATTTTTCCACATGGGGGATGGGTCTCAACCAGTTACTCTACTGTTGCAGTACTTGGAAGTTTTGAACCATTTTAACAGTCAAGCATTGCATCCAGACACTGCTTACAGTAACACCTGTTCTCAGAATTACCTCTGCAATGTTTGAAGTCCTCCTTAGGAAGTGCAGAGGGATAGGGCGACTCAGATTGAAGTCCAGGGCTTGCAGAATCTTTATCTCCATCTGGCAGATTTCTGCCTTTGTGTAAGCATTTTCAGTTTCATAGGCAAGATCTCCAACATTTAGGGGACATCTATCTTCATACTTGCTGGCAATTAACATAGCTGTGACACCAACCAGCTGCAAGGTCGTCTTGGCAACAGGATTGTCCTGCAGTGAGAAGCAGCAGAGATTTTTTCCAAATTACTTGTCTGAGAACACAGCTTTTCAAGGGAGACCATGTAAAGCTTTTCCTATGGCAGGGTGTTCATACTGGCATATGCAGAATAACTACATCACCATGTTACTCCTGTTGGCATTTGCAGGGGTATTAGAAGGCTTTGAGATCAAATCAGGGACAGGAGAAAGCAGTTTTCATGCATCACATCATTGTTTATAGCCAAGGACGTTATGTGGTACATACATTTTGACATCAAACGCCCTCTGTTGGTCAACTGTATTTTCAGGGTAATGTATATAACCACGTATGGTGTTACTGATCAGTGCTCATTGTGCTTTAGCTTAGGGGAAAAGAATCGCCTGACATTGGGCAAGAGGCACTCACCTGCAGGAAGCGATCGACAATAGCAACAGATGTATACAAGGTCTCCTGATGGAGCCTGAATTTCAGATGTACTTGTACAAGCCAGTCCATTAGTCTGGCACGCATGTTTCCACTGATATCCTGGCCGGCCAGGTATTCAGGTCTGATAGGTTGCTTTTCCTGTGTGGAAGGAATAGAATTAGTGGCTCTAGTCACTTAGCTGAAGCACTGGCAATGCCTGGCCTCTGCTGCATCGTAAGGCCTGTCAATGAATCCAGTACAGGCATAGCCCATAAGTGTAAGGGTGCAGAGAACAAGTTTTTGTTATTTGCTAGAGTTGGACTAGAAGGAGCATGTTACTGTCACTGAAAGCAGCAACTGCAAAGAAAGAACTCTCTAAACCAAACTATAGTTTAGAAAGCTGGTTTGTTATCAAAGTTGGACAAGTTTGAATGCTAGCTGAAACTAGCATACTGCATCAAAAAACTGCAACATTTTTATTTTGTCATTCATTAATATAAACACGCCTAATTAGCCAGCAATTCTCCAATTAATGGATAGTCATAACTATTACATTCATTATTGGTTAAGTATATTAAAATTAGCTTTGTCTCTCATGTAAACTAGCACACATGCTCCCTGTGGGTGTGTGTGGGAGGAGGGGCAAATTTTTCACACTCTGAATTGAGTTGGTGGTTGCAGTCTCCCACATTTAGTTTTGGCTCACTTTTAGCCTTTCATAAACAATTTTTGATGTTTTGGTACCTTGTAATCTTCATAATGAGGATTTTGACTAGAAGATCCCCACACACCTCCAAGGACAGACAGCTTGCTGAAACTTGCTAAACAATGGTCTACTTGCTTATCTCTAGGTACATGCTGTCTTATTATCTTTTCTACTAACTGGCTGGAAAATTTCTCTGCCACCTTGTCCCATCCTTGAAGCAGTGTTCTCTGAAAGACTGATGTACTGCTATTAAGGCAGTAAAAATTGTTCTGCCATCCTTAAGGCAACATTACTAGTTCTACTAGTTGGTTTGTCCAACAACTAGCCCCTGCGCTACCAGCTCAGTTTAATCTCCTATTTTAAGTTGAAAGATCACTTACTAGTGCCTCAGGAAAACCCACGGGTGAAAGTGACTACCAGCACAAGTCACACGTCTAATGACAGAATCACTGTGTCAGCAGATGCCCCTTGCAGGCCTGATCTGTTACCAACCTCAAGGTCTCTCAGGTACTTGTAGATGTCCTTCATATAGACACTGCAGAGGTTTGGGTCACTACCATTTTTCAACTCTACGTCTTCCACGTCAAGCAAGACATCAGAAAAAGCCTGACCATGTGGTTCATCATCTGACGGGGCACATCCAGATGTCCCCACGACGACTGGTGGTTGAGGCTCCAGCTACAAGGAAACTGGACATCAGTGTGGGCAGCACCTCCCTTGGCAGCCCAGGAGGTTCCCATGGGCTGTGCTGCACCCAGGAGCTCCACAGTGCGGTAGCGCTGTTGGTGCTCAACACCACCACTACTTCAGAGCACCAAGTGAGGCCATGCTCTCTGCTTGGCCCAACCCCACTGCAGGGGACACATGGCCTCAGTGAAGCTGCGGACAGTACCTGAGCAGGCTCTGGCTCGAGCTCCATGGCCGGTGGCTCCACGTCCTTGGTGGCGACCCTCAGTGTCCTCCTGGTGTTCTCCACAGAGGCGGCAAGCATGGTCTTGGTGCCCAACTCTTGCCTGCAGGTGCCATCCGTCACTGCTGCCTTCTTGAAACTAGTCAATGTCCTGGGTTCCAAGACACGATTGCCAATGTCACAGAGGGCAATGCGCAACTCCATCTTGGAGAACTCCATCACCATCGGCCTGCACCTGGTGCCAACAGGTGGCTGCTCCGGGTCTGGTCACAGGCTACAGCGCAGTTGTGCTGCAGGGGGAAGGGAGGGCACTGAGCAGCAGCGTGATGGGATCACCGGCGAGGCGGGGCGTGCACACCTGAAACTGGAGAGTTAGAGGACAGGAACAAGGAGAGAGTTACACTCACAGCCCCCTTCAACTCCAGACCTTCGGGCTAGAGGAGCCGTGAGGCGAGTTGCAGAGCTAAACCCTCTCGGAGCTGGAGGATTATAGATGCGGACCAGAGGAGTTGCGCATCCTGCCCACCGCAAAACCTGAGGACTGCAG